TTTTAAATGTCTATGGTAAACCTTAATTTATTATGTTAAGCTAATGGTAAAATTAATGACCTAATTAGGAAATTTATACTCTAACCCCTAGTTAACTATACAGTTAATGACTAGTTTAACCTTAATTCCCATTTCCCTTCAATTGTGAATACCCATTTCCCTCTTAAATTGATTCCCCCAATTTCCTCCAATTTCCCCCCTTTTTATGAACCCTAATTATTTCAATCTCAATTTCTCTGTTAAATTTGTGCAAATCCCCAATTGAATGTGCATGTCAACTTCGCGTTCGTCTTCCTCCTCTTTGAAACTAGTAACCATGGAAGATAGGATAGGTTGGGTGAAGCTTGTTCGATGTTAGTGTGTTCCCCCCAAAATCGTTGCTGTGAAGATCTTAGAGACTTCGAAGAATCCTTGAAGATTGTTCTTCAAGTGTAGGAGTTGCGATTTCTTTGCTTGGGTGAAGGAAGAGGATATAATTAGACCTGGAGCTGCTAAATTTGGGGCTGAACAAGGTGGTGCTTTTGCTGTTATTAGGAGGCTTGATGAATTGGTTAATTTCATCAAAGTGATTGTGACAGTAGCTCTTATTATGTATTTCATTCTGTTTTATGTTGCGATGTATCGTAGTTTGAAGGATTCGGGTTTTATGGTGTTGTTTGATGATGGAATGTAATGTATCCCTTAATTAATGAATAAAATTCAAATTTAATCCAATGGTAGTTTGATTTGTCTCAAAGGAAGGCATAACAAGAAAGAAAATATAATCCACGTACTTCAAAGACCATAATTTTCAAATATCAAATAATTTTGTCCAAAAAAGCATTGCATCCAGATCAAGACTTATACATGTCCAAAAAAGATACCCCTTTTTTCACTGTCATCTAAAACATGTGCAAAAAAAAAAAAAAATACCACCAAACTACTGAGATGAATTGTTAAATTAAACAGGTTGTGATGCTAACACTCCTGTTCTTGCCTTCTTAGTCCTTGGGGACACCCTTATGGGATGTGAGGAAGTAGCTAATGTTGTAGGATCTGGTTGGCTTGTTGAAACTTCTTTTGCCTTCCTTTTTGTTTGCTTCTTGGCTTGAGATTGTGATTCACCACCCAATGCAGCCTTCTCTTTCAAAGTTAAGCCAACTTAGCAGGTTTGTGAGTAATGACCAAACTGTTAGCATTTACCACAACTGAAAGTTCTAGATCTCTTGCCTTTATCTTGCTCTCTTTCTTCTCTTATTATGTTTCTAGCAGGCCTTCCAATCACTCTTTCCATAGCTGGTGGGGCTAGTTCTGGATACTGAATATCAAGCCACTGTTCCACATCAGGTACAGCCTTGATAGAGTTGCCATATGTGAGCTTGTACCTCCTGATTGAGTACCACTCACTTATGTACTTTCTGGGGTCATCATTAGCATGTAGTATGGCCTTCATAGCATGGTTGCAGGAGGCCAGACAGTTTCCATGCATTACAGGCACAAGTCAGTTCCTTAAGGCTCATAGGAAGAACTGACTTGCCATCCAAAATCTCATACTCACCATCTCCGGATTTTAGGCACTTGCAACTCTTTGACTCATGGCTTATCACTTGCATCCTTTTTCATGATGTTAGGACAGATATCATCCAACCATCCCTCACAAACCTCCCTTCTTGTTGCCATCCTGACCATTGTCAACCTCCTAATTCCTGCAATGAATAAATTTAACAAGTACATAAGTGGAATTAAATTCAATGAGAAAAGAAAGCACATGAGCTGTAACAAGTACCTTCAAGGAGAGTCAACACTGGTCTATATCTATCAACTCCTAAAGTGGAATTGAAGATTTCCACAAAGTTAGACTTGTTTGTGTCACACTTAATAGCTGGGTTGAATGCATGTTTTGACCAAGTTGACTGTGCTCCAACTTTTGATAGCCACACTAGTGCCATTTTATTGGCCTTTGGCAGGCCTTATTACTTTTTTGAAGGTGAATGGGTTGTATGCCCCATCTGCTTTCCAAAACAGTTGGAACATCAAAAGTCCAGGAAACTGCACCTTGAAATTCTTCACCAAATGCTTACAACAATACCTTCTTAATTCCCACTTTTGGCCATAACTCAGTCAAGGCAACATCAATACCCTTAACACCAAACATGAACCAGTATTATACATGTCAAATAAGTTTGCAATAATGAACAAATTAAAACAGTCAATTCAATCAAAAAGTCATATATAAGTTTTGCCTATCAGACATTATGCACCATTCATCACCCCTGCCAGAGTCTTTTAGAGCATTCTTTAGGTGCCAAATGAAAATTTTCCAGCTATAACTGTCTTCTTTACCCACTATTGCCCATACAACTAGAAATATCTCATTATTTCCATCTAAGGCAACTGCAGAGAGTAATACTCCCCCATAATTACCATTAAGATGAGTCCCATCTACACCAATTAGGCTTCTACATCCAGCTGTCAACCCATCTAAAAAAGCCTTGAAGCATATGAAAATGTTGTTGAACTAAATTGGCCTCTCTGGACTGGGTTTTGTCCATGCACAGTGAGAAACAAATCCTGGGTATATTTCTCTGAGTACATCACAATATTTGGGCAAATACTTGTAAGACACATCATGGCCACCATGAATTTCAATCAATGCTTGTATTTTAACCCTTTATAAGGTGCTGAGAGCCATATGAATTCCATATCTCTGAAACAAAAGATCATTAAGAGACTTGGCAGGGATATCATTATTTTCCTTGATGTCATCTAATAACACTCTCTTAGCCCATCTAACATTCACCATGTTATTTCTTGAGTCAAGCCCTTGGCATGTATGTTCTGGGTTGTGAATGGTTTTAATGGCCCATATTGTACCATCTGCAAGAACGATGCATGTAACTTCCAACCACAGTGAACATCTGAGCATATAGCACCATACCTTAAGTTGCTAGCATAGTCCACAATAATAGCAAACCCACACAGATGCAATAATATCTTACAACATCCCTGAGATGTTGCTTATCAGTGAACAGTTGCCACTCTTTAAGCACAATCTTCCCAAATCCCTTATCTTTGTACACTTTACCATTGTTATATAACCTCGTCAGGTAATTATCTTGTTCATTCTCATACTCAAACTCAGGATCCTCAAACGGATCATAACTATCTTCAATCTTAGGCACATCATCATCTCTCTCAAATATTTCTTCTTCTTCAACACTCTCATCATCTGTGTCATCTTCCATGTAATCATCTGATCCCATATCTGAGTTGTATGTGTCATCTGCGTCATCACCCTGACCATATTCATCATTGAACAACACCAAACTTCCATTCTCAGTGTCCTCTCCTAAACTAATAGACATATCTCTAGCACTAACATTATTCACATCACTCTCACCTCCACTAGTACTAGTGTTAATGACAATGCCTCTCCTTCTAGCAGTGCTCCTAGGCAATCTAATTCTGTTATCCCCACCAGCACCTACATTATTCACATCACTCTCCCCTCCACTAGTACTAGTGCTGACCACAATGCCTCTCCTTTTTGCAGGTATCCTAGGCAGTCTTCACTGAAAAAAGGCTGAAACTCTAGAAGAGGTTGAAGAGACTCTAGTACCAAACTCTCCAATATTTTTCAAGGGTGGTATCAGTGTTTGAGTTGATGGCTGGGGTTGTGAGTCTTGGATAAACACTTCAGTTGGGGCTTGGTACTAAGGGGCTTGGGTAGTATCAGCTTGGTCAATTTGTTTAGGTTTCCATGGTGTTGGGGAGATGTTGAACCAAGACTCTAGTGCATTAACCCTCCCTCTCCCAGTTTCTGTCCTTCCACCTCTCCCTCTCCCAGTTTCATTCCCTATCCCTCCCTCAATCCTAGCTTGTGTTTCATTCTCTCTCTCAATCCCAGCCTGTGTGTCAATCTCTTTCTCAATCCCAGCTTGTGTTTCATTCTCTCTCTCAATCCTAACTTGTGTTTCATTCTCTCTCTCAAGCTCAGTTTGTGTTCAATCTCTCTCTCAATCCCAACTTGTGTTTCATTCTCTCTCTAAATCTAAGTTTGTGTTTTATTCTCTCTCAATATCTCATTTTGTGTTTCAATCACTCTCTGAATCTCAGTTTGTGTTTCAATGTCTATCTAAATATTAGTTTGTGTTTGTGTCCCAGTTTCTCCCCTTCCTCTACCAGACCCTCTCCCTCTACCCCTTCCTCTAGAAGTCCCTCTCCCCCTACCCCTTCCTGTCCCTCTACCCCTTCTTTTCCTTTTCACTCTCTCTATCTCCACCTTTTCCTGTAGTCTTTATTCAAGTTCGGGCCAAGTTTCTTCTGGATCATAACTTTGAACCTCAGTTTCAACTACTTGTTTAATACCTAACCCATGAACATGCTTATCAAATTTAGCCTTAGACACCACTTCAGCTTCAACCAAATCATGGACTTTCTTCTTCCTAGGGGTAAGTTTTTTCCTAGCAGTAGTAGTAGCCTTAGACACCACTTCATCTTGGTCAGGTTCAACAATTAGATGTTTTCCCTTAACAAGTAATCTAGCTGCTGCAACAACCTTCGTGTCCTTAAGACCATCCCCAACCCATACATAAATCTCTTTCTTATCAGGCAAGTTCACAAACATTTTCATCAAATCACTATCACTCTCAAGACTCACATGTTTCATTTTGTACACACAATTAAATGTGGGATTTTGGGGTGTTTCAACATTGCTTTCATTTGCTTTTTCCTAATACTCCACAATAAGTTCCATCAAATTCACCTTATTTGAATCATCAACCAAGGCAGACACATCTTTACCCCTATATTGAAACTGTAGCACTATTTTTTCATCCGTTCTGCAACAACAACACAAATGAACAACATATAATCACTACTTGGGTAAGCATTATACCCAACACATAAAGAACATCAAAACAAACAAAGACAACAACTTTTACACTACAATCATGCAATTCTAAGACATAAATCAGTAACAATATCAACTCCAGCAATTAAGATTGTCAACATGCAATAACTCACAATCAAACATTATTCAAACATTGATTATTAAAACCCAAAAACAGAGCACAATATAATGTGAAGCAAAATTCAACATATACTTGACTTCAATTGACACTATTAGCAGTGTCAAGCTTCAAAAGATCAAACTTTGTTCACTAACAAACAATCGTCGACGAAACTCGCAAATTGTATCCTAGAATTTCGAGCAAAATTCCTCGAAAATCACCCTAAATTATACCCTTTAACACAGAAAATTTTCTACAATAAGAATACCCAAACCCAGAAATATCCAGCCCTAATTTTTTCGCAATGATTTCAACCTAAACTAATTCCTCACTCACTCTCTTTTTCGATGTGCGAACTGAAGAAATGGAAGAAGATGAAACGACTTAACACCCAGACTTCAATTCTAATTAGACATAAGTGGGTGGATAGGATATAAATGGGGGTAATTTAGGCATTTTATGTTTATTTTTTTTAAAACAGCCTTAACCATGGTTAGAGTGAGGATTAAGTGTTTACCATTAGCTTAATATAATAAATTGAGATTTACCATAGACATTTAAAAAATTTAGTGTTTACCATTAAGAAAAGTAATAAGTTAAGGTTTACCATTGCGAATTTCTCTATAATATAAAGCAAGTATTTTGTAGCAGTTCCTCTTATGTCTTTAATCTTTTAATACATAAAACTTGAGTTTCCCATGTTGGTTGTTCAATGTCTAATGAGTCGCAAAAATGTTTGATTAATCATAGGAAGTAGGAAGTTCGAATAAGGATTAGTTAAAATTTTCATTTTGTATGAAGTATAATTTTCAAGAATGTTGCATTTTTCATCCTTTTCTCAACCAAATAACTCTCCCAAATTCTGATTTCCTGAAATATCTCACTTACTATATTTATTTTTTTACGTGAACTGAACAAATAACTAAGGGCTTATTTAATTTACCTTATTTTTGCTCATTTGAACTTATTTTTTCTGATCTAATCTGATCTGAAAACTTATTTTTTTTATTTGATCTGATATGAACTTATTTTTTCTAAAATAAGTAAAAATAAGGTGAACTAAACAAGGCCTAAGGCTATTAGTTTATCAATGGCCTCTGTTCTCCATTGCTTACTCCTGAACTTTCTTCCGCTACTCTCTTTCTTGCTTTCCTTGCCTGTAAAATAACCAACAGTACAACTTTTATCAAAATATAAGGTTGATCCGAAATTTCTACAGAAATTGTGATCTAAAGAGCAAGAATGCAATATGCAGAAGATCTATAAGCAAGACGAACCTCCTCTTCCCAGTTGGTACGACTCGTTATAATAGACAAAAGGACTGCCTGTGTCATAGCACCAATCATAACTCCCATCCAAAGGCCTCTACCTCTCATTTGCATCCAGAAACCCAATGTAACAGAAATCGGAATTCCAACAAGATAGTATGCTGCAAGATTCGCGTATGTCCCTAAATGTTGCCATCCACACCCTCTAGCTACACCTGAAGGTTGAAATAATAACAATTAGTCCGGCAGTGTGTTGCATGATTAGAAGATAACATCAGTAATGGAATGAATTTGTGAATGAAATCCTTATGATAATCTTATACTGTCATTTTTTAGTAAAGTCTGTTGACTGTTGACAGCTAAAATTTGTATATTGATACCTGAAAGAACTGCCTGTATACTATCGAATATAACATTAGCACAAATTAAAGGTGCCATAGTGAAGACATAATCTACAACTTGCTTCTCATTGCTGAAGCAATATCCGAAAACTCTTCGAGTAGCAAAAAGGATTGAGCTAACAATCAAACCATTGGTAACTCCCATCACAACTACTCCACAGGCTGCTACACGAGCAGCTTGTGGGTTTCCTGCTCCAAGCTCATTAGCAATTCTCGTGCTGTAATATTCACACACAAAGAGAAGATTATTACTCTAAGTTGAACTTTAAATTCTATGTTATACTAAAGAGTATGCTTTAGAACTTTTGGTCTGAAACACACCTTGCAGCTGCTGCAATTCCATAAGGTATAGCAAACAACGCTGAAATCGTTGTCAAGCTTGTAACCAATAGACCAGCAAGAGTTATTTTTACTTGATGATATTAAAAAGTTACGTGAACTAAAATTGTACTGAGTTTATAGAGAACATAGAACAATACCACACTGAGAGAACAGAAGTCTCGAGTTCTGGATTTGGTAGAAATCCTGATAGCAAAATTAGCAGCTCAAACGACCACCACTCTAAACTATAATCATAAAGATGAAATCATATTTAACAGATTAGTTCATTATACTTAAAAAAACATCAGTACACAAGATTGTAAGAGATAAAAAGGAGCTTACCAAATCATTGAAGCAGAAGGAATAGCAAATCGGAAAAACAATCCAATTCCATGGAACATTTCCATGGAGAGTGGAGAACGAGTAGCTGCACACGAGGGAGAGAACATCATAAACAATGCCAGAAAAATGGCATTCAACCAATTTGATATACCCATTGCCATAGCACCACCTATATTTTTTAGCCCAAACTTGTGTACCAAAGCCCAGCAAAGGGGTATATGCAGGCAGAGAGTACAACAGGAACTTACTAACATGGGCACGACCAAACTTTGAGATTGGAAGTATCGAACCAAGGGCTGAAACACGGCGTAAGAAATGAGAGTAGGCACAAGATAAGTCATGAATCTTCCTGCTTCGTGTGAAATAGAAGGATCTTGGCCTATGAAAACGAGAATATCCTCCATATAAATCCATATGACAGAGAGGGGGATGCTGAATAAAGTGAGAGATATAATGGCAGTGTATGTTTGAGTTCCTAGTTTCTTGTACTGTTGTGCTCCATAAGATTGCCCGCTTAAAGTCTCTAATGCACCTGCCATCCCTAACTATGATCGAACAAGCGCAAATATGTTAGAATTTACTAATTTCTGATATGTTACTAACATAACTTCAAATTTTACAAGACTTTAGATATTAGCAAATTAATTTACATTCGTAGATATCATTGTTATACATTATAATTACAAAATGTGAGGAACCATAGTTTAGTAAAGATGATCAAGCATTACATTTTGAGATGTAAAATCAGTACAAATTTTGGTTAAAACTGGAAAACAAAATAATTAATTATTAAAAACCATATAGCCAATTTATTATGATTAATTGAACAGAAAGAAGTTGCCATCAAAAGAAAATTTAATAAAAAGCAATAAGATTGAAAACAAGGCAATATCATTAATTCAGGAATTTGTCAATAAATATTTGGAAAAATTGTCACCATTAATCCCAATTTTGCCTCGTCCGTCAATATTAATCTCAACTTTTGTTCATCCCTTATAACTCCCAACTTTATACTCTATTAATTTTTATCACCTTCAACCGGTCATCTAACTTGATGTAACAGGTTACATGTACACGTCCAAACAAAATTAAGAAAAAAAAAACTAAAATTAAAAAAAAGCCCAACTACCAAACCCAGCCCCCCACCCCCTATCCTAAACCATCCTGAAAAAACACCCCACCCCCGTAAACACCTCGCGTCGAGCCGAAATACGGCGCCCTGTCCCTCCCCCGCCCTCGAAACCTACCCCTTTCCCTTCCCCGACCCTCGATTTCATCCCTTTCCCCGTCGATTTCACCCCCTTCCCTGCAAATTTCGCCTCCACCTTCCTTTCCCTTCGAATTCCGCCCCTTTCCCCGTCGAATTTCGCCCCTTTCCCCTAACCATTCAGCCCCTTCGAAAATCGGCGACAATCGGCCACAAACGGCCGAAATCAACCGGTTTAGGGTTTAAATCAACCATTCAGCCCCAACATCAGCCGATTTCATCCATTAGTGGCCAATTTTGGTGGTCGATTTTAGGGAGGGGTTTTGTTTTTTTGGTAGGGAAACGGTCGTAGAGCAGTGATGGGTTTTCCTGTAGTGGTGGACTAGGAAGGGAGTGCGTGTGGTGGCTGGCTACGCTGGGCTGCGTGCGGAGAGGGTGTGCGAATGTGCGTTGGTGGTGGTGGTGTGGTGGTGGAGGTTGAGCAGCTGTTGGGTAAGTTTTAGGAAAAAATCTAATTCACAAATATTAACTTGATAATAATGCTTATAACAAGACTTGAACTCAAAACTAACAAGTCTTGAGTTAAGAATCTTATCATTTTAGCCATTTATTAATTGTGTTTTTTTATCCAATAAAATTATAGTTAACTTAGATAAGTTAATTTTTGTCTTATTATACTATTTGTGTTCTGTATGTTATGATTCAGTTTGACAACAAAAATGTTTATAGCAAGACTTAAACTCAAAACTAACAAGTCTTACTATCTAAACAGTCGAATTTAATTAGCAAATTAAACAAGTACAAGCTAGCAACCTGCTCCGGCCACCACTAGTTTATATACTTAAAAATGAAGAAATATTGTCGCAATTGATCTTACTAAATTCATTTGGGAAATTTGCCAACACCACCTTTGGGCGTTCTTTCAATAATAGCACGACCTTTTGATTATTCCAGAGTAACACCACCTGTCACATGCATTTGCCAAAAATAAAACAAAAAACCGGTAACCTATTTTACAGGTAATCTTGGACACGTGTCCCAATCTGACTAGTCAGTTTATATTTTTATATTTTTGATTTTTTTTTAAAAAAACCTAAAAAAAAAAAAAAAAAAAAAAAAAAAAAAAAAAAACCCTCCTTCCACATTCCCATCCTCCCTGCCCACCTCTTTCACCGGCATCCACCGGACCACCACCCCCCACCAAGACCTCCCACCTAAAACCGCCTTCTCCCCAGCCCTCTTCCCAGTTTCCGGCACCCCTCCCCTTCCCGACCCCCTTTCCGGCACCCCTCCCTTTCCCGACCTTCTTTTTGGCACCCCCTCCCCTTCCCGACCCCTTTCTGGCACCCCCTTCATTCCCCTATTTTGATTTCTGCCCCAAATTCCAGAAAAAAGCAAAAAAAAAAAAAATGTCCTTGATTGTCAAATTGAAGCTTCAATTTGACGACTTGGCTAATGTCTACTTCAATGGAGAACATAACGCTCATAATGTCAAAAGCTGCTTCAATGGAGAATTTAGAGTACGACTTCAATCGGGTGGGGAAGGGAAGGGAAGGGTCGTGTGCGGTGCACCTACTTTGATTCTTGAGCGAAAATGAAGGAAATGAGGAAGGGGAGGGTCGTGCACCGGAAATTGATAGAGGGTGGTGTTTTCCAATGAAGTGGGGGGCCGCTGATGGGGGCTAGGTTGGGAGGCTGGTGTTTTCCGATGTGGGTAGCGGAGGCCGAAGGGGGGTTGGGTTGGAAGGGTGATTTTCTTTTCTTTCTTTTTTTAAAATTTTTTTTTTAAGGTTTTTAAAAAATTAATTTTTATGTTTTTCTTTTATTTTTTAAATCAAAATTAAAAATAAAAAGAATTAACCAATGAGATTGTGACAAGTGTCGTAGGTAACCTGTAAACCGGATTACCAACCGGTTTTGTACCATTTTTGGCAAATGCATAAGAAAGGTGGTGTTATTCTGGAATAATCAAAAGGTGGAGCTATTATTAGAAGAATGCCCAAAGGTGGTGTTATTTCTGACAAATTTTCCAATTCATTTTGATATACAAGTACATTGCAAGTATCATTCAAAAGTTCAACTTTTCATACTTACTACACTTACTAAATAATTTATGAATTAATTATTATTTGTCAAAGATTCAAACTCACTAAAAATTCAACTTTTCATACTTATTACAGTTACTAAAATTGTTAGCAAATACTTAAATACACAAGAGTTCATTTATACTCAAATTTTTAAGAATAACTAGAAAAATATTCTGTAAAGTGAAGAGTGGATAAGATATTAAGATTTGAACTAGTAACATTTGTGTCATGTTGGCTCTATTACCAAGTTAAAAAAAAACCATCTCAACAAAAAATTTAAGCTAACTCAAACTCAATCTTTGAAAAAGGCATGGGAAGCCAAGAACCCCAAACAGAATTTCAAGTGATGCTGGGCGAAAGGAAAAGGTCTACTCTTCTATGGAAGTCAATATTGTCTCATCTAGTATATCTACTACAAGCTCCAACAATCTCCATTTCCAATGCAAGTCCAACGGCAATTCAAGGAGGATGAGTCGACATTCATCTAGAAAGAAGGCTCCTCGACATTGGAAGGAGGGACAGAGAAGAAGGACAGTCCCGAGTAGTGTTGTCCCTACCATCTCTACTAATTTGTTTTCTTGTTGCAGGTCCCATATTGGCAAGAAGAGGAAGAATGTTAACCCCCCATAGCTGATCCCCCAATCAACCTAAAAAAGTTTGTTTCGAATGTTAGTTATGGTACTTGTATTTCTAGTGTAACGTCTTTGAGTCAGAGTCATGAACTTGCGTCTTAGTATTGTAAGTCTGCTAGTGTCGTATCCATACCCACGAACTGGAAATATATACTAGATGTAGTGGGTATTTAAGTTTTTTGTAACTAAAAGAAAAAAAAGGTTACCATGATAACAATAGAATATTTTGGATTAAATTTATTTAATAACTAGTTTTGTGACCCGTGCGATGCCCGGGTTGTTTATTGAATTGTAAGATAATTTTTTAATTTATAGATTAAATTTTAAAATATATCATTGATACAAATTAGTTAGGAATTGGATGTGCTTTTGTGATGATTTGTTATCTAATAGGCATATAATGGCTAATAATAATGTTGGTGGAAATGTTCGATTTAATACACTAAAAAAAATAATAAAAAATAAATTAAATGAAATAAATGTTTAAAACCCGTTAGGTTGATCCGAACCTAAAACTTTGGGCAAGAGTTGAACAATTCTTGACTCATAACCTGAAGTGACCCAATTCAAGATGACTCGTGACCCGACCCTTATTGATGGGTCTACATAGTAATAAAACTCTATTAAATTGTAAAGTACTCAAATTATTTTAGGCAATTAGTATACATTATAAATGGATGTTTTACGCTTTGAACTATATTAGAATTACTACCTCCGGTCCAAATTACTCGCAACTTTAGGGTATTATTTGTGAGATATAAAATATTTCAAAGTTGCGAGTAATTTAGACCGGAGGTAGTATAATCTAACTCTAAACTAACAATTTTATCCTAAAATTCTATCCAAATAGAATTCTAAACTAAATTTTTTATCTTGTAAAGTCTATTAAGTCTATCTTACGTGGCGCGACACTTGGCGAAAAGTTGAAACGTCAAATGTCGCTACCTTGTGACCTGCCTAAAAGCTTAGCTTTATATACTTCCTCTGTTTTCTTATACTTGCAACAGTTTGACTTTTACACTATTCATGCATATACACCACTTTGACTAGTTTTGACGATTTATACCTAAGAAAAAATATAGTCATGTGGGATCTTGTTAGATTCGTCTCGGTTTATACTATTTTAATATCTAATATTTATAATTTTTACATATTGATAATTAAAGATATAAACGATTGAAATAATGCATCGGTAAGCGTGAAAAGAGAAGTGTTGCAAATAAATAAAAATAGAGGAAGTATTAGTTATATGATATGATATCTTTATTTATTTAAAGAGGTTTGGTATGAACAGATTTGATCCTAAGGCTGAAATTTACCAATTGATAATCTGACATCCACAATTTATTCATTTAAATTATCCAAAGTTCATTGTTTAACTTTTTATCCACCTCCTAAACAAGTAAACATGTGACAAACATAAATTGTATTTGGAGATAAAACGCAAAAATACTCTATTTTTTTGGGTAAAAAAAGTCAAAAAGGTAAGGTAGTGCGGGAACATAATTTTAATCAACAGTTAATTGATCATCCACTAGCGATTTGAGTGATTATGGACACTTTTTTCCACCTTTTATTAAAAATTCATGATAATTTCCCTTTTTTGAAACAAATTCATGATAATTTCCTGATAAAAATTTAACAAATTCAGAATAATTAAATTCCCTTACATAAAAAAATTTAAAATCAGAGTAAAAAAAGATCGGTCAGAAGAGATACCAAGAGGCTGAATCCGGTGACCGCGGCAAGAGATACAGCAAGAGCAGTGCTAGAGAGGTAAAGCGGGCCGAGATGACCGACCATCATCAACGTAACGACTTGAATCATGTACTGTGACATTAACACCGCCACCATTGGACCAGCCACCCAACTCACTCTTATCATTTCCTCTAATACTTCTTTCCATCTTACTTGTATTTTTTCTATCTCATCGTCTCTTCCTTTTTCTTTTTCCTTCAATAACAACCCTTCTTCCATCTTTTTCTCCTTTTTCAACTATAGAATATGATTATGTTTGAACTCTTCAATTTATTGATTTTCAACCACTACTAGTAAGTTTTATTGATTTTATGTTATAGGCTATGGTACCCACTAACACACGTTTCATGCATGCTAAGTTTAAAATAAAGGTTATTTGATTTATTTGATTTTAATTTTTATGTTTTAAATGGTGGATATGATCTTGTATGAATGGGTATTTACACCTTGGTCAATGATGGTTGGCTCTTTGCTCCCATTGTTGTTTTTAAAAAAAACAAAAACATTTAAAAAAGAAATATGAGTTTTTCTAAACTATACCCTCTCGTTGAATTTCGAAAGTGTGAAAAATTACAAGTTATGCCCTCTAACTTAAGTTATTTAATCAATCGTACCCTATGATGTAAATTCGACGTTAGTAATTGTAAATAAATAGGAAGTAATAAGAAGCCTATGAGAAAAAAAAAATAAGAAATACACTGAAAGTTTGACATATCAATGGTTGCTTGAAGAAGAAATAGATGTGATCAATGGGCGGGCCACAGGGCTAGACTGGGTTCGAACTGGGAAAAGGTAAAAAAATACCCACTTATCGGGTCGGGCCGAGCCAAAAAAAACAACGAATATTGCATAAAATTGTTTTCCCAAGCCCGTCCAAAATTTTTAAAAATCGAGCCGGGCCGGAAAAAGTTATCCAAAGCCCGTCCAAAATCTTGGGCTCAACTTGATCACTTCTAAGAAGAAAGAAGAAAAAGTAGATGAGAAAATGTGGAGGAAAAAAAAATGCTAAATGTTAACCTATTTATATAACTCTAACTTAATTTGGATGTGAAATTTCTCTCCAAAGTGCGGTAATAAATTGTTAACACAACTTGAACTAGTTAGATTAACGTTATAAGGTACGGTTGAAAAAACATCTCATGTTGTAGTATACATCTTGTACTTTTGAAAAAGCATGGGCACAACTTAGAAACTCTATTAACCACGGGGCATAGCTTAGAAAAACTTTTTTTTTTTTAAAAAAAGGAGAGAAAAAAAGAAAAAACAAGTTGGCCGTTTTTGGCCGTTTTTAAATACTTGCTCCACTTTCCTTTTTGGCCGTTTTTAAATACTTGCTCAATTTCCTTATCTGAAAAGTTTTTACAATATATAATTCATTTCTACCACCTAGTGGACCCAACAAATATCATATTTTATTCATTTCATATTCTCTCACCTCCAATTTCTCCACTACTTTTGCTTTTTACAATTTTTTATTCTTCCACCAACCCCACTACCTCTATATTTTATTACTTTCTCTAATTTTTCTAAAACTCCGCGCATAGAGAAATGGAGCAAGTATTTAAAAACGGAGGGAGTACTCATTAATGTCTCAATCAAATCTTAAATTTCCAACTAAGTTTTTTTTTTTTTTTTTGGACGGGAAATTTCCAACTAAGTTGGTACAATAGTTGTTAAAAAATAAAAAATAAAAAGTGGTAGAGTAAAACAGAGTACTCTTTAATTCATTTTGTTTGTTCTATTAGCACTATTTACATTTTTTAAGATATGTCTTAAAAATAAACATATCTAATTTTATATTAGAATATGAAGCAAGCTTAAACCTAACCATGAGAACAACTCCTGTTATAACGGATGCAAAAAAGAACAAATATTGAATGTAAAATTCACAAGAAAAACATACACAGATTTACATGGTTCACCAACCATGCGTTGGCTTCGTCCACAAATAGGTGAGAATAATAGTTTTATTGAACTAAGAGAATACAAATTACAAATTTAGAAATGATTTGAAACTAATCACATAAAATAGATTGATTATCTCTCTCATTTACAATGCTATCTCTCTCAGAACTCGCATATGAGAAATACACAAAGGACTACTCAATAACATTCACCACGTCTACGAATAACCCTAGGGGGTATATATAGCACTTCAAAATAATATCGATACATAGAACCGTGGAAAAACGCTGACCACCTTAACATTAAATTGTCGCTACTTGCACTTCCTGTCACGAGCAACTTCTTGTGTTGCACGTGCCCTAGCTCTCGCTCGACCCAGCCACACCTAAATACCTCTGCGAGTTATAGCCCACTTGCCTGGGAGCTATAGCTCACTTTCGTCACAATATTCAAGCTTGCCAACAACTTATCGAGCTACCCCGAGAGTGCTTTCTAGTCCAAGACCCAAAATCATAATAAAGGCATATTTCTTACAACTCTAATGGTTGTAACTAGAGACTTGCTTGCAATTTTCCAAAGTCTTACCTTGATCACTGGAGCCAAAAATTTTACATCAGAAAGTACCAAAATTTTAGAGATTGATACATTGATATAACTAAAATTTTGAAGTTGATTGAGAAAGTTAAGCTCATTTAAATAGCAAGTCACACTACAAGAAAAAAGTCATTTCCAACGAAAAAATTCCATCAGAAAACCCGTTTTCGACATAATTTCCGTAGGAACCGGTTGTCAGAAAAGGTTTGTTGAAAAAACAACCATTTTCGTCAGAAACATTTATCTGATGGAACACCCAACCGGTAGCAAAGAAAACAACGGTAAGTCTTACCATTCATAGTCTGACCCAAACCCGATATTAGGACTGTTTGGAACCAGGCCGAAGTGTGATCCCACTGTTGGGACTTTCATAAGGCAACCTGACGCGGAGATAAGGAGAAAGTGGAATCCGCAGATGTAGTGACCTTTGTGAAATATATACTTGCCAGTTTCTTTATGAGTTTAGGGGCAGCGATCTCACTAGGGTTACTCATAAGGTCAGTCTCCACAGTCCTATTAGAAAAACTAAGAGCACCATCAAAGGCCGGTCCTGGACTAACAATAACATAATTGTGAAGAAGCATAGCCTGAAGACCAGAACACTGCAGACGTGACGCAAGGAAAGCATAGTGTCGAACATCATTCTAATAAAAAATAAATACCTAAGTCCTCTAACTAAAGCAGATAGGGAAGTAGGGTCGAACTTCACAGGGAAATGAGTCTTTCTATTCCTAATTAACTAATATAATCTAGATTATGAAGTAACCAATATAAGTTGAATATGAAACTAAACTACGAAGAGTGAGAATAAGGAGAAAACAATATATAAAAAGGATCTAAGGCATAGGTTCACCAATAAACAATATTCCAGGGTAAAACATAATAGTCAATCATCAATGCATGAATTAATCAGATCATAAAGGGCTTTCGCTACGTATTACAATCATAGAATTAATCTACCGGTGTTAAATCTCATCTCTCGAATCTCGATTTAACCATTTATGAATTAATATGCCTACTGAAACTAGACCTAAACATCAATTCTCATCTGTCGAATCTCGAATCAACATTGTCAAACTCATGCATAAAAGATCAAGCCTAATCTACTCACAGAGCATTAAATCAATCAATAGGAAATTAATCTAGCATTGACAATTAACAACAATAATTTACCCCTTCATATTATTTATGGATCCCCATAAACCCTAGAAATAGATCTACTCACACATAATAAAAACTAAACAAATCAAAGCAATAAAGCAAGACATGATTAAAGGAACAAAATAACAACTAAGATTAAGGGAAGAAAAATAGTTACCAAAGGAAACCTGTATTAATCAAAATAATTAAAAACAAGACTTGAGAGAAAAGTTAAGAGAGAGAAAAATCCTAAGTAGAGAGAGAAAATATAAAAGAGAAGGTAAACTCAAATTACGTACATAATTCCGTACTTCCCCAACCAACTAAAACAACTCCTAATTAAAAACTAAGTGCTCGTCTAACAAAGCCTTCCAGAAACACGCGCCCGATCGGGCGCGCCTTTTTTGCCTTGCCCGCTGCTGGTATGCCGCGCCCGATCGAGCTTATTCTCACCCGATCGGGCGCACCTCTTCCTTGAGGGTCTTTATGTGCGCAGCCGCCCGATCGGGCGTATGCTTGCCCGATCGGGCCCGGTCTTCTTCTTTGGGGCTTGGATTTCGATTGGGCTTAATTCCTCGGCCCAATCTAAGTTTCCCCATCGGGTCTTGATTAAATGATCCAATAGCCTCGGTATCTCATACCGAGCCCTTAATCATCGGCTCTCACCGATCTTGGGCTTCAAAAGTGGCCGTGTCTTTCTAGCTTCCGCAGTTGATCCATAAAACCCGGGAAAATGCTCCAAAAGTGCAATTTCCTGTAAAATACAACTAAAACTACGAAAACACTAGAAAACACAAATGAGTAATAAAAGTGGCTCGAAAGAGCCAAAAACACTACTAATTAAGACCAAGGGACGGGGGTAAATTACTATATAAATTGGACATATCAAACACCCCCAAGCCAAACCTTTGCTTGTCCCTAAGCAAAGGGCTCATCAATGAAATACAAAGCATGCCTCACCCCAATAATCAAATCAAGCACAAACGATTCAAGGCAAATCTAATGAACATGATTCAACATCAATCAATCTTATTCATCTAATCACCCTTCCTCCCCAACAATTGTCAAATAGAGCAAACCACAAGAGCATATAGAATTCAAGACTAGTGCTCACGCACTCAACTCTCATTTAATATGGCGAGAGTAAAAGAGGTAATCGATCGCTCTCCAACCAACCCCTTTACTTGTGAACAATGCCCACCCATCTCACACTCTTGTGTGTTTAAAACAATGAACGCTCAACCTACTAGTCGACTCGAAATATGTCAAGTCATAACTTGCATTGATAAACAACACTTTCACATTTACACAACTCTATGCACAAGGGCGTAAGGTCTTTAAAGCTTGTAATGTAAGGCTAGGGTAAAGGGTAGGATAAATTTGGGAGTATGTGAGAGAAAAGCTATGCATTAAGGGAGCCAAATCCTAACAAACCCATGATCAAAATAAATAATGATCAACATCTCTTACATAACCAACTCTAACAAAAATCCACCAAACATACTCCAAACAATATAAACAATCCCAACTCTTACAATTTCACTCATAAAAATATAATAATGAAGAAGTGGAGTGAATAATCAAACTTTGAACTCATTCTCTTCTTTTTTTTTCTTTTCAAACTTGAATTTTTTTTTCTTTTCTTTCTCTTGAACAACCTTCAAATAGAACATTTGAGCATTAAATTTTTTTTCTTTTGCTCTTTTTTATCTTTTTAATTCATATTGGAAATTTCAACTTTGAAACACAACATATCAATATTTTCCAATCAAAAATCAAAGAACAATCACTCTTCTTTTATTCCCATATTGTGCAAATAATGTGCACACCACAACTCCCTCACCTCACCAACTAATAGCTCCCCCAAGCCAAGCTTGGGACTAGTAACCAAAGGGGCTCAAATAGGACTGTAATGTGGTTAAATAAACAATAAAAGGGCACAAGCAACAGCATGGGTAGCAAGAAAGGAACAAATGTATCTAAATACTCTGAAGGCTACCTAAAAGAATGAACGCCTTCGTCCTCCTCATGTGCAAAATAATAAGTCATGAAACACTACTCATAGTTGCAAACCAATACTCAAGTTCATTGACATACCAGGAATTATGGAACTATCACACA